GACCCCCTGACGCCGGGCCCGCCCGGGTTGAGGTAGCGTCTCCTGGGCTCCTTGGAGACCGCCTGGCCGCTAGAGGACGAAGGGGAAGCAGACCGCAGCTCGGGCGGCGTGTGCTTCCGCCTCTTGTCTGGGGCCCGGCCTGGAGGAAGGGTGGGACGAGCAGGGAAGCCTCCCCGGGACCGGGCGGCCGGGGCGGCGGAGCTCAGAGAGGGGTTGGGTGTGCTCCCTGGCATGGAGGATGTCGGCGATCGGCAATAAGCCGTTTGAGGAGGGTTTTAGAAATGTCGCTGTCAGGACTTAGTTTAAAACAAACAAGCAAACCAGAACTCTTTGCTGGAAATGAATGTGGATGGTGGGGAGAAAATTGCCGTCTCTGGACTGCATCTGCTTCCTAGTGCGCCATCCCCGTTGTCTGCTACCAGGCATGGATTAGGTGGATGCAGAGTGATAATCCTACCCTAGTTTTCAAAACAAGCCCTTATATATAAAGATGTAAATCTCATTTGGGGCTGCTGACTTGATTAACAGGAAAGGCAGTGCAATGAGGGGGTGTCGGTGGTCAGTACAAATCCTTTTCCCTGGATTCGAGCCAGCGAGTCGATGTCTGAGGGCTGTCTGCGGCAGGCATCCCCTGGTCGTGGAGCAGCGTACGGCTTTCCCTTCGGACTCTGATGGCATCGGCTGTCCTTCAGAAAACATAAAGCTGGCCTAGAGTTTGGGTTCAGCTTTGATTAAAAAAAAGTATTACCACATTACTATGACTTATTAAAAGGAAGTTGTGTGTACTGGGATGTTTCCTAACCCTTTCAGCACTGATTCTAAATTATCTGCTAATATTGGGTACTGCTGAGGGGAGCCTGTGGATGTGCCCCAGGTGCCACCTTTTCTGGCATTGCTCTTTTTTTGTGTCCATTAGCTGGACAACCCAACAACTTCAGGAACAACCAAAACGATCTCGGCTTTTATTAGGTGGTGCACGCTACTGTGAGAATTAAATCCTTAGACCCTTAAAAAGGTTTCATTGTTTTTAAAACTGACTTTTCAGTTTAGGAACAGCAACGTGCCTAATTACTGACAAAACCACAGACAGTAATACAGCAGTGTACTTGAGTGTTTTAAAGTCGAAGACAGAGTGAAGGAGGCTTAATGTTTAAATTCATACTCCTCTGTTATGCTGAAGAGAGACCCTTAGAACTTACAACTTTAATTTTTTCACTGAAAAGTGCAGTTTATCAAAAGTTCGCTTATTTGCACTAACTTAAATTGTGCTTATTGATATGCAACAGTGCAGATAGCTCTTAACAAATTAATTTGTTTAGTGAAAATAAATAAATTAAAAATAAGTCAGCAGTGTTGTAAATCCCAGTCAGGGCCTAACAGCCTCCTAAGTAAGAAACAAGTGATTTATTTGTGGTTCACATAGATTTAATGACTGAATTGCCAGGTCAGATTGCTAATGTGATTGTTTAGAAAAACGAGTAGGTTGAATTTTATTGCCTGTGCTATTTCCCTTTCCCTGAGGTGGCAACAGCCCCTCGTTTGTTACGGTCTGGCACTGAGATGGGCAGCTCTGGATTTGGATCCTGCTCTGGTCAAGTTGTCCATTTCTGAGCTTTCGGTCACGAGTTAGGCAAAACGTTTTTCCATCAGATACCGAAAAGTTATGATGTGCTAATAAACTTAGGATAAATCGCACTTATTAATTTTATAAGAGAATACTTTTTCTGTCTAAGAGGAAGAATTATGTTTGTATTTCATCACATACGCAGCAGTGCATGACAGTTTCTGATGCTTTTAAAAATGTCCTTTATCTTACAAAATTGAAAATTGAAGGAAAAATTTTGAAAGGAAAATTGAGTCCTCAACACTTCTGTGCTGCTGTTCTGCTTTTCTTTTTTTCTTGCTGCTAATTGGATTAAAAGCCATTTTGGTTACTATGGCATCCCGCGAGGAGATTACTGTCTGTGAAGATGAAGTAAGGTAAAAAATCAGATCTGTGGTGTGAGCAGATTTGGAAAGATATCCATAATGCCAGTAGTCCCTTTTGACTGTATCTGAACTGTAACAGTTACTTAAATGAAAGGATATCTTGCCAGATCTCCTTCCCTATGGGTGTTTGTGTGTGCAGTTGCATTTCTGAATAGTGTAGGTGATGTTTCTGAGAGAGATTACAGACAAATCTGTTAAACCAGGTAGTAGCTAAACCGGTCATTCTGACTATTTTTCAAGTGTAAAAGGCTAAAACACTTTCTGAGATACCAATCAAAATATTGTATTTTAAGATCAGCCAAGAAATTGCAGAACTGCCCAGGAGCATCCGAATTCTCAGTATGATTTTGTAACCATACTGTCACCTGAAATTTAGGTTTTAGAGGTCAGATGGATATATATGTGTTTGTATGGTGTTTGTCAAAGTGAGCCTGTTTATATTTTGTGATGTTTTGTCATATTTTAATGTTTGAAAAACATGAAAATATAAACAGTTGTGTAAGCTTCTTGAGTCTCATTTTTCGTTTGTGAAAAGCAGCTCACCCTGAAGTGGTGAAGCTTTGAACGATAGACATCAGTAGCTGAACTCTTTGAATGACAATTAATTTACTTTGCTGGTGTTTCCATAGGTCTCAGTACAGCTACTTAGAGAAGATGACAGATTTGGTGGCTGTTTGGGAAGTAGCTTTAAGTGATGGTGTTCATAAGATTGAATTTGAACATGGGACCACTTCAGGAAAGCGTGTTGTCTATGTTGATGGAAAGGTAAAATTGCTATGTGTGTAAAATTCGCTGTTACAGATTATACAAGTGCACTTGCACGCAACAGGCATCAGAACAAACAAAAGACTAATAAATGGAAGTGAGGTATATTCAGTTGATTAACTTTACCTAATTTAATGAACTGCATCATCCTTTTTTTCAGTTACAATTAAGGTGTGAGTGTTCATGAAGTTCTTTGCTGTCATTGGGCAGAAGCACTCCAGACATTCAAAACACCGTGTATTCATTCATTCTGAAATAATAGTTAAGTACTGAGCTGTTTCCTGAGTTCTAGTTCAGTTGTTTTATATACTAAAACATGCCTTCAGGTTTATCAATCAATACCCATTGTCTTTGTTTTATTCTGCAGGAAGTAATAAGAAAAGAATGGATGTTTAAATTAGTGGGTAAAGAAACATTCATTGTTGGAGCAGCCAAAACAAAAGCTACTATTAACATTGATGCGGTCAGTGGCTTTGCATACGAATACACTTTGGAGATCAATGGAAAGAGCCTCAAGAAGTACATGGAGAACAGGTCAAAAACAACCAATACTTGGGTCCTGAACTTGGGTGGTACAGACTACAGAGTTGTTCTAGGTAAGTAAACATTGAATGACTTCCTGTTGCTGCCTTTGAATAAACCTGTATGCATTTAATAACTGGTGATTAAGAGAAAGCGCAGGTCAGTGGCTAGCACTGTTGCAGTGTAAAATCCAGGGTGGTTTGGAGGTTTAGAATTAGATGCCAAAGACATTTTGAAAAATACTGGTCGTGTTAGACCTGTGTGAGCCTGCTGTCAGTGTTCTGTTGCACAGCAGCGTGGTCTAGATTTAAAAAAAAAATAAATAAAAAAGGTTGGAAGGAGTTATGGCCTCTGTATTAATAGAGCTGTATCCCTAGCAAGACAGTTCTCATTTGAAGCTTGTTACAGAAGTGTTATCTGTGTTGTGATCTGTGTAAGTTTGTTAACCAGGTAACTACGCTTTCCTTCCAAAAATCAGAAGCCAAAGTCAAGGAGTCTTTAACCGAAGAAGTGTGACAATGTTTTTTTACATTTTGATAGATTAATCAGCATCCTTTTTTCTCCATCACTTCTTACCTACACATTTAATCTTAAAACTTCAGATGATGTTTTTTTACTTACTTAACAGCATGGCAATACATCTCTTCGGCCCCTCTCCCAGATACGTTACAAGCAGATGGGAGAAAGCGATCTCCTGAGGAATTTGTCTGTGGCATCAAATGGGAAAGTGCCCATTTAGGTGCTGCTGTATGGTTCGACCTGGAGACAAGAGATTTTGGGCTGTGATTTCTTCTTAAGCCCTTGGACAGAATGAACTGCCCTAAGATGAAGGGTAGCAGGGAACACACAATTTTAAAGCCAGAAACAGATTAGTCTCCCTATGCTTACTTAAAAGACAAGCAGTGTTCAGCTCTACTGATGTCCTGTGGATGACAGCATCAGTAATGTGAATTCTAGAGCAAAGTAATTTGAGGAGGATGTGCTGGGAGAAATAAAAGAAAATCCTGTTTCAAATTAAAAAAATACAAAGTCTTAAGATTTATATCTGAAGTGGTACTTCGGTCTTCAAGGAAATTTTAAGAATAAAAGGAGATTTTAAAACAGTTTGATGGATGTTAAGTAATGCTGCTTTTGAATCAAACCATCCTGGAAAAAATGTTAGAGCTTTGTTGAATAAACAGCGCTCAAATAATTAGCAGAAATTACTTCATCTTTCTGTCTTCAGGTTTTTCAGTGTAAGAATGTCAGAATATCTCTGACAGTATTCAGAACAACCTCATGTTAATAGCCAGGGCTAGGGAGAGGTAAAAATGTATTTTCACAGCAGAAGTTGTTTGGCCATTGATGACAGAGCCTCCTGTCTCTCCAGTATACGGACAAATCCTGTAGCTTAGGTGCTGTAGATAATTAGGAACTTCTTTGGGAACTGAAAGTAAAATTCAACACTAAATTTTTAAAATTCCTAGATCTTCTTGTCTGTAGAGAAAAAAAATCTTGTTCTTTCTACTTTTTGTTTTCTTTTTCCTTCACAGAAAAGGACACTATGGATGTGTGGTGCAATGGTCAAAAGATGGAAACAGCGGTACGTGATCATTTCCAAAGGCTTTCCACAGGTTGTCTATGGTTAGACAACCAAAGCTTAGCAAAATAAGGCACAGAGGGGCACGTTACCTCACTTTATGGGGTACGAGCACAAGCCCAGGCAGCCAGCACACTGTGAGTCTGTTCTGAATGTCCCTCACTGCATTTTGTAACTGACAGTGTTTCACTTAGGATGCCAAACATCTACTTAGTGATGAACAGTGCTTTTATTTACACTTCTTAGACAAGCAAAATCTTCTGGGTCAGTTCACCAAGGGTTTTTAGGGAGAAAACTTTCAGGGGTGTTGGGGGAGACTTGAAAGCGAAGGAAACTGTCTTTTCTATTTTTGTTTTACCAACACGGATCAATGATATTAATTCACAAACTCCAACTTTACCATTTCTGATTATGTGAAATTTTGATTGTCATCCAGTACCTACAAATCTTTAACTGGACGCCTTGACAAAGCCCCGTCTGAGACTGCAGCTTTGTTGCGCTGCGTTTGTCGCAAGTACCTACGGCTGCTCTAATTGTGGGAACTACAAACAACCTTGACTTTGGAAACAGTCTGACGCACTCGAGCTTTTATTTTACTGAAATAGCACATGTCTGGTTGTATTCTTGTCTCCTTTCTCGCAGGGTGAATTTGTAGAAGATGGGACTGAAACTCACTTCACTGTTGGTGATCACAACTGCTGCATTAAGGCTGTCAGCAGTGGAAAACGAAAGGAAGGAATTATTCACACCCTTATTGTGAATGACAGAGAAATCCCAGAGGCTGTGGAGTAGCCTCTAGTTAACGGATTATTGTAGGACTAAGATCGGCAATGTTCAATTACTGTGGTAATTATTTCAATACGTACTACTTGGTACACCTAGTTTGTGCTGGGTTTATTTTCTAGTTTCTGTATATGAAATTATTCTTTTTTAGGACCAGATGAAAATAATTATATGCAAACTCTTGCGGTACCAGTTTTTAAAAAACTATATATACATATAGAATATATATATTGTATCACTAAGTGCAGAGAGCACAGGTGAACTTAAGTAGAAGTTAAATGCTAGAAAAAAAAAATCTCGCTCTAATAAAATGCAAGGTAAATAATTCAGTGAGACTGAATCCTTATAACCTGCGGGTGCATGTGGAGGGGGGAGGAAGCATGTGCTGGGCATTCAAGTAAGCTGTTGAAATTTCCTCCGTAATTACATTTTCTACTAAACTGACTACCAACGTTTTTCAGATGCAGTTAGGAAGAGTTAGGAAGTTAATAAGAAGGGTATTAATGTCTGTTGGTAACATTACTACCAGTACCTGTGTAACAGTATTTAAATAATACTGTGCTATGAAAACTGGTCTTTATTCCAAGTAGAAGAAAAGACAGCGTGCCAAAGAAAAAATTTCTGAAAATTGATGCTTGTTAGAAATGGTTGCGCAGTAGTTGCAGAAATTCTGTACTGAGTTTTTTTCCAAAAATAAAATGGAAAAAAAATTCCCGTCATGAAATTCCTATTAAAAATGCAACCTTTTGAAGCAAGCTGACATAAGAGCTTATGGTTGTTCAACGTTGCCTAACAAACCTTAAATGTACAGCTGTGTCTTTTCCTGGAAGCAATGTGCGAATCAAGAAACATAAGGATAAATGGGACAGAAACAGAGGAGAAGAGGTTGCTTAAATGGAGAAGTTAAAATAGAAATAGACTGATTCTGTTTTCAGTCTTCAAGCATACTATCCAAAAGCAACCTTGACATTTCTGTGGGAACAAGACTCATATGTGTTAGGTGGTTTTGCAGTGGTTCAAAAAAAATTTCCACTTTCAACCTCCCTTAGAGGTCAGAATTAGACTTCTATAACATGGAAAAACATCGTTTCTTTTGGACTCGTGAGTAGTTCCTAGTGCTATCCTGGGAGTTGCAGGTACAGTACAAACATGCTGGAAATTCATTAACAAATTATTTTGAAGAGCTTTATTAACCGCTAATTTCATCTATGTTTTATGGTTCTGACTGCTCTCCATTAGCACAGTGCTGTACACGTGGATGAAATGCCTGTCATATGACAATGTCATTTTTTAATAGTTTTATGTGGGCCTTTCTTCTCCCCGGATAATTACGGTTTTAATGACACAGGTGACTTTTTAATCTAGAAGCAGATGTGATACTGACAGATGAGCCTTTGTTTCTGTATTACAGCACTGCTGTGAGCCATTCAGGTGTTCAGCTGGGGCCATAACTGGTGGTTTCAAATGCTTTTAAATGATTGGATAAACCCGGTAGACACTTTTAGTTTGGGGCAATAGATTTGTTTTAAACCCTGCTAACATCAGACATAGCTTCAGGCTTTAATACAGAAAGTTTCAAAGTACGTGAGAGCTGCACTGAATCCCCTTTCACGTTGAAATGAGTGTAACAGCTCATAGGCTTTTCTGTCTACTGGCTTCAGGTCACTGCAGAAGCAAGGTGGGAATGTGTACAGCTGACACTGTGATCGTTAGAAGATACCGGTAAAGGCAGATTAATTGAAGAGCAATTTCCAGCTGTAGCTTGAACCAGTTCTCTGCTATTGTGTAGCCTTTCAGAGAGACTGAACACCACTGAGAAATCTGGAGCTCAAATGCAGTCTAAGTCACATTCTTAAGGCAATATGGAAAAATAACAGGTCAGCCGATAGTGTCATTCATACTTTTTATTTTGAATACATGTATCTACAATGCTTGGAATCTCTTAACTAATAAAAAACTGTAACAGTAACTACTGTTAGAAATCATGAAATATTTCCTTATAGTTGTTATAACTCTATGTATATTTAATAGCATGTCCCTACATGGGAAAGAGCTTTCACCCGATACATTCACCTATTTAAATCGAAAGAAAATTTAAGAATTAAAGGCACAACCAAGATTTCTTGGGTTTCGCCAATACATGCAATATCTCAGATTAAGAAAATGTAATGGAAGAATGACAGCCTGTGCAAACATCAAGTGGATAGTCACATGCTCAGAATACTTTAAGGCGTAATGTAAATGAAGAGATAAATGTTAAACCCTGTTTTCTGATGCTTTCCACTCACAGATAATTTTGTTTTATCTCCTTAAGGTATTAACTGACTTTTTTTGTTCAGGGATATTTCAGAGCTCTTTGCACAAGGCTCTTTGATTCAGCACGTTACCAGGCAGAGCATCCTCTTAAAATCTAAGTACTTTGTTCAGAGGGACTCTTTACAACAGCTACGGTTCTGCTGAATTCTTACTGATGATGCTGCTGGTTTCCTCAAGGGCCCATATACCTCTCCCTCACTGGGGAACAAGTCAGCAAATATTGTGGAAGGGCCCCAATGCTGTTGCAAATGACAAAGGTGTCAGGATTGCTCACATCATCCACTAAGCTGTCGTACACCTCACCAGCGCGCCCCTCCACTGCTGGTGGCAAAATGTAAGACGGCTTCCCTTTAGTGTATAAGCCTGTTAATACATCAGCCTCAAACACGTACATTTTAGTGTCTGTGTCCCACACATCTTTACCCTCGATTAAGCTTTTCGGATTCTTTTTAAAGTAGATGCCAGCTCCGTATTTTTGTTCTGGAAAAAAAAAAAAAGAAAATTTTTCAGAAGAAAACAAAAAGCCTTTTACAACGGGTTCTTTTGGGGTGGCAGTACTAAGAGACTGCTGCTTGATTCAGTATTACATTTTATGTAATAAATTGAAATCACGAGCAATGACAGCTGATGTCCTTTCTGATTTAATGGCCACCCCAGTGGTGACCATTCAGATTCAACTGTTAATCCAGCAATAGAAACATCAAGGTGTAATGTAGTTCTGTAAACAATTATGAAAGTGTGCTGTGTACATGCACAGACAAGGCAAGGCCAATCTCCACTTTCTGAACAATTCACTGCTAGACGACCTTCGAAGCACCTTCCTGCCTCAATTATTCTGTGATTCTTTTGTGCTTTAAAAGCATCACGCTGCTGAGTGCATGTTTACAGCAAGTAAATAAGAACATTCACTTTCTTTAAAGAAAGACACAACAAAATAAAACTTGGGCATGGAATTATGTGTATATTAACAATTCTGTCAACAGCGTCTGGGGTAGGTTAGAATCCAGGCCTGTCCCCCAGAGCCTCACTGACTCGACAGTACCAGGAAGGAAAAACAGGCAAATATTACTGTAGATAAAAAAGTAAGCTCACAGGACTCTGAATGCAGGTAAGAAACAGTTACTGTTTAGAAATGCCATTTTTTCTGATTTTAACCCAGCTTTGGTAGTCAGTCACTGTTCATTTTGAGTAAAGATGCCAAAGCACATTATTTATTACCTGTTGGAGGAGAATACACCCTGTGAAATCCAGTTTGGCACACCGACCTGCAGAACTGAGCAGGAACGTGCTGGTACAACCTGTGCGTTATTTTCGAGAAACCTTGTTTTTCTTCTGTATTTTTTTTCAGTTGTTGGAATGCAGCAGATAAAAGAGGATTATGTATCTTTTCAATCTGTAACATAAATAATAGTGTAGTATGAGCAAGTGGAGACCAATATCCATGAAATCCATGAGTGCTCTTGTTCAGGCTATGTTCTTCAATGCAAGAACCTTTGGTTTAGCTTACATGCATTGACCATGTAGCAGATAAGGTGTCTGAAGTGTGCATCTGATCTAGAGTAAAAGAACCGTGCTGCTACCCATGCCTCTCACCAAAATCAGTAGGAATATATCCTAGTGTACCGACTTCCAGTACTTGTGTTGTGCTGCACAGATGAGCATCAACCGTACGTGAGAATAAGCTGTGTGGGTGCTTACAGCCTAATCTTGTAAAGAACAGCAAGTGTCCTGGGAAGTGTGAAGAATGTCAGCTCTGGATCAAAATTTTACATCTCCTCGGGGGGAGGGGGAGGGAGTCCCTAGATAAGAGGGCCTTTACGTTAGTTTGTGTCTCAAAAGCGTGGCTGCGTGCCGCGTAACCACACAGAGCTTCAGGCAAACTGGCAATGCTGCAGCGCTCGCTCCCATCCCTGACTCCACCTGTGGGCCACTCAGCCCTGTGGCAGAAGTCAGTACCAGGGGCTGCAAGGCCGCTTCTCCAGCAATCTGCTCATGCTGGTTCTGACTGCTCAGCTACAAACAAGCAGGTGCTGAAGCACGATCAAGCTCTGTTAAAAATACACAGTATCTATACAGAATATACAGTGCAGTTAAAAGGACTTCTCAGAATTCAACCACACTTTTAAGTTATTATTTGCCTTACGTTTATATAGATTTATATTTATCTAGATCTATATAGATATATATATCTATAATAGACTACATCTGTTTTAAGGATGAGGCTGATTGGATCTTAATTTTTAAAAGCAATATGTTTAAATAGTTAATTTGACTTTTTTAAGCATATGTTAAACATGCTAGTTCAAATGTATCAGCTGAGACTCAGATTTTCAATTAATACACTCTTTACCTTGAGAACATGAAGCCCAGCTTTTTCAAACTGCTTCTGTCTGTCTTTAAACTCCTGAAGGTGTGATTCCAACAGTGAAATATGGATGCCATTGGTAGTATCTGTCCTGTGAAGGTGTTCTGAAAGCTGACCTACTTCTGGTTGGCCTGGATACAAATAAGAGAGTAAAATTTTCATGTACCATAATATCTGAAGCAAGGGCAGGGAGGAGGGAGCCAATACTTAAGAACAAAGAATGTTAAAATATTCTCCACAGTAGTGCCAGAGGCTAATATTGAGCAGGACTGGTATGTGTGTATATATATACATTTATTATTTTTTCTACATTTATTAAAGAAACCAGAGGGAGTGAATCAAAGAAAAGCAATTTATCTTCTCCATTACATCTCTCCACAGCTCAGCTTTCATATAATGAATGTATATTGAATCACTATACAAACACAAGGAAAAATGGATCACTCAGTAGCTTTTTGTACGACCACTACATGTAGCAACTGTTAATGAAAGCCAAGGTTTCTGCAGAACAAGTCCATTGGTGGGTCCTGCAACAGTGGTCCAGCTGTAGCTGGCAAAAGAACTCAGCGAAGGTATGTGCTAATTAGGTGCAAATCTGGTAAGCCTTCAGTGGCCAGGCTTTACCGCAAAGCTGTACAGTGACAGCCAGCCCCAGTAAAACTGTGCCCTACGGCCAAGTGAGTGACCAAAGCTAACGAATGCTCTTTCAGGGGTTCATACAATAAAAGTACAGTGATATCGATAATTAAACTAACACTCAGTATGTGTGTGAACTGCATGTACATCTGTCCACCCTCAGCAATGCACAGATGCATTATTTATGCATAAATATGCACTTGTTTACGTACGCATTAAGTAAAGCAGCTCCTCTTGTTTGTCTGTAGTCCTCTGTTGCATACGAAGCAGTAATTTTTCAGTTGCAAGCACTGCATCAATCACAGCATTGGAGGGGCCCTGAAATTCCAGTCTTGCTTTTCCATCTCGCACTACTTCCGATACACTTACACTAGAAGGCAGCTCTTGAGATAGTTCCGCAAACTCTTTTTTACCAAGGTTAAAAATGTAGTTGTTTTCAATAACAGCACAGTGACTTTTCTGAATTTGTACCACGCTTTGGAGCCATGATTCTGCTGCCTCCAACACTGTACGTATGTTCCCTTTAAGTTCAATAGCTGGTTCATGATCTGCAGTCTCTTTTACACGTCCACTGCCTGTCTCTATACCTGGAAGAAAGATTTTTTTACACAAGCGCATTGGAAGCACGAGAAGCTTTCAAGTGCTGTCACAAATTCCTGTATGTAATCCAAGATGTGCAGTGAAAAGAAACACACTACTCTTCTGGTATGCTCAAAAAAAGAGATTAGATACCAGGAGCTAAGGTTTCCAGGGGAAAAAAATCCTGCCACACACATACAGAATGTACGTGCCTTCCACTAAATGACTTCCAACAAGTCAGGCACTGACGATGATGTTTATCTTTGAAAATATTAAAGGTAGTATCCAGTTCCATTCCTACTAACATAAAAATGCAAAGCGCTTGCACATTTTTTGACTCCCTTTTTCCCCAAGACACATATACAAATTCTAAGTTATTTTTAAGGGAATGTGATTTCAGATTCTCAAATTTGGAGTGCTCATTTTGCTTGAAATGCCCCTTCTGTTCATTACTTACTCAAAAGATCACTTCTGCTGTAATATTGCTTTTTTTCCAGTTTGTGTGCTGCCAAGGAACATCTTGTCTGGAAAACCTTGGAAGAGAAAAGTTTAGGACCAGTTTGCAACCTCTGTTGTCAAATAAGCAATTTGTTTCCTCAAAACTCTGTTAGATAAGCAGTTGATAGCTGTAGTTAACCACCCCCCCAAATTCTGAAACAGTTAACACCTGACACTTGTCAGCTTTTCCCAAAATGTTATTCCTGACAATATCAAATGCATTCCTGTTCCTCCACATCTCCTAAGGCAAGACACCTTACACACCAAATGTAACCTTTACCAACTCCCTGTGGTTGGTATCCAGAACTCGTGGAACCACACTAGATAAAGGTGTTCATTATCTGCACTTTAGTGCTGATGAAGTTTTAAAACCCCGACTATTCCTCTGCCTTTACCCCAAAGCTCCTCTTCACAACCACACACAGAAAGGCTCTGAGAAGCGCTGCTCTGCTAGGCAGTGGATTTGGCATCTCGCAAATCGCCGCCTTTTTCCAGTAAAAAGTGCCCTGATTACCAAGGGATTAAGTGATGAGCACAGAGCTGTCACACAGCTTCCTTTAGTTTATGGGACTATCACAGAACATGGCTCTGATCTTAGAATCATGGAGTGGTTTGGGTTGGAAGGGATCTTCAAGATCATTTAGTTCCAACCCCCCTCCACCAAGGCCTTGCAGCAGTTGAAGGAATGCATGGCTGAAGTTAAATGGGAACAAAAGCAAACGCTACTTTTATATCAGATGGCTATCTAAAATACTTGTGCATTAATCACATTGGCCGAATATTCAAAAGGTGGAAAATGGCACACTGCAGTTGAAACCATCTGGTGTCTGTCTGCAACCCTTCTACCATATTAGTCACATAATGTGTTGATAGTGTTTTGCCCTAGGAAGTTCATACAAAAAAAATAAAGAACTTTCTTGAGGAGGAATAAGCTTATTCTCTAATGAGTTAAGGGTAGTCTCCTATAAATTCACTGACAGTCATGAGAATTCAAAGCTCCCTCCTCTTGATATCAGACCACAGGGTAAAGAGATGTGATTTAGTGAAAATAAAGATTTGTGAAGATTAATAGTATCTGTTAATGAGACAAATAGTTTCATAAAGGGACCTGCTGTTCACAAATGTTATAAGTAGTACAGAATTCAGAATATTTTAATTTGTAGTCATCTGTGGAAGTATTTTGACAGTTCTGGGTTTTCCTCGCTGGCAGTTAACAACAAATTTGTTACCTGATAGGCTTTGTAGTCGTCTGGGCAAACGACAATCTGCACCTCTATCTTCTTCTCAGGGTGTGCCCCAGCAAAATTTAAAACCTCTTCAATCATTATCTCTGCCACTGTATCAACAGGCAGCATTAATGATTCAATCACATTTGCTGGAAAAGAAACTGAGGGAGATTGCCATTCAGGAGGTTCCCCAATGTAATCCAGGCATCTTTTCACTGCAGCTTTTAATTCCTGCAGGAAAAACAAGTGGGTTAGTCCTCATATCACTCAACATGAAAATCAATTAAAATCCAATCTAACTGATCATCACCTCACACAGCAACACCTTGTGGCGGTATTGCGGCCATACAATGTGCAGCACGAACTCACAGGGCAGATTATGCCCTTTTGTTACTACAAGTCCCTTGTAAAAATGTTTAAGAGAAGACTGAAGTTCATCCTGAAGAGCTGAACCCGCTTTTTGCAGCAGTCCTCTTGAAACTGAAGAGCGAGGCTTGCCATTCGCACACACAGAATTAACAACAGCTGTCGTCTGGAAGAACAGGGTGCAAAGTTTCAGTATACTTCAAGTTTACTGTTTGCAAGCTTTGGTACCATACAGAACACTCTAGGGGGAAAAAAACAACAACAACAAAACAAAAAAACAAAAAGAAGAACCAACCCTGCAGCAGATCAGCTATTTGAAAGGTTCTCTTACTACTACTAAGGGCAGCACTGGAATACATCCAAGTATGCATCTTCTAGTGGCAGAAAATGCATACTTTTTTTCAGAAGCCAGCAGCGTGCATAAGACCTGTTCCAGTCATCAGAGTGTACTGAACAGGATTATTACCACAGCTACAGAAGTGACCCACATGCCCCTCATCAAATGCAACTCTTCAGCCAATTAACAAAGGGCAAAACAGAACTATGGCTCTGTCTGGTACCCCAGCCCATGCAGATGTCCCCACGTTAGGGCAGCAAGCACTTGACACCAAACTGGTGCGGTCAGTGCACGCAGGGGAACTGCAAAGCTATGGTTGCTGCCAATTCCCAGTGGAAACAGCAGATTCCCATAGTAGGTCTTCTGTATTTCAAAATAAATCTGTAAAATTCACAAAATCTTGTTTACAGAATGCTGGTAATAGCAGTAATTGTTCTAACTTTAATTGCTGAAGATTATCTAAAGATGCAAGATTTTGGGGCATATTTTCTTCATAGCCTTGAAAGTATGTGATATCCTTCAGTGCTGTAGAATGGGTTAATAAAATTCCCCACAATATCAACTTTGTCAGCCTTTGCTCTCACATAAAAACTTCCTATTCAATTAAGACACTTCTCTAAAACAGATGTTACAATTATTTTTAAGATACAGTATTTGCTAAAAGCAAATGCCATTTCTGTGATGTAGCTTCCAGTCTAAGAGCTCTGTTGGATTACTATGACTAGGCTCATATATTTTGCATCAGATTTTCTAGCTAAAAGAGTTAAATTAATTAATTTTTAATTTAAATGATGCACTGTTTAAAGGTAAGGTGCACATCATCTGCCTAAGTTATTTTGAGCTGTCTCACTACTAAGTAACTCCAGGAGTAGCACCTATGAGAATGTAAGTTAGAGGAAAAAAAGCAAGGCAAAAAATAAGAGTAGACCTCTAGGGAATGCATGATAAAATGTGAACTCCCATGATGTTAAAAGAGGAAGATAAACATTAACATAGTGATATATCATTATTAATCATCCAATCCTTATCTGCTTCCTATTATACTGTAACAGCGTGTATACAAAAAAAGAAATAAAAACATTGTAATGTTTAATACCCATTTAGAAAAACAAAAAAAACCCCAACCAACTCCTTGCCACTATAATTTATGTACCATTTGTAAATTCTCATCAGGCTGAGAAGATAACTATTTAGTGGATCAATACGTGGTCTCAACTCTTGGGCTCCAAATCCTGCAAGGTATTGAGGTAACTCCACGTTCAATATAGTACAGGACAGATTTACCTTCTGCTCTCCAAGGAGTCCTCTTATGATGCGCAAGCGAATGCTTCCATGTATGATGAAAGCCGAAGGCTGGCTTGAAGCTGGAAGAGTTTCCTGAAGTGAACTGCTATCACCCAGAAACTTTTTACAGGCCTTCTTCATTTCTGCAACTGTATTGTCACAAATGTTCACCAGGCGGATTTCCCTGAGACTGTGCAGTGGATTTGCCTCAACAAATTCCTTTATAGTCACTACAATCACTTGAGCACACAAATCAAGTGGGACGCCAAAAAGACCTGAACTTACTGCTGGGATAGCCACAGACTTTATAGTATTTTCTGGAGCAGTAACGTACTCTAGAACATTCACAATAGCTTCTCCAAGTAGGTCACAACATTTTTCCTTTCCATACATGTTCCACCTTGGACCAACTGCATGAATAATTTTCCTACAGGGAAGCTTTCCTCCATCTGTCACTGCTATTTTGCCAACTGTGAGTTTCCCATACTTTTGAATATAAAGCTTGCTTTGTCTTTGTATTTCTGGCCCTCCAGCATTCACAAGGGCTAAAGCAAGGCCTCCTCCATGTTCTAGATGTTCATTGGCTGCATTCACCAAAGCATCGACCTTGTGTCTTGTGAGATCATCCTTACAAACACAAATGTCAATTCCCTGGCTCAATTTTTTCCTGTATACTTCACCAGAGTATTTTTGATCACTCGTCTCCTTTAATTTTGTACTTTTGAAGGTCAATTTACAACCAAACTTTTTGTCAGTGAGACTACTTAGACAGTTCTCTCTTCTCTTAAGAACTTCATAGGCATCTTTATTGATGGGGATCACCAAGCTGTCCTCATCCATTACCATACTTGGCCCTAGGATATAGAATAACATAAAGCAAGTTGTTACTGTCTTTAAAAATTGAACAAATGCAGAAACACGGAAGGAAAAGGGACAAAAGCTGGGAGAAAAGGTCAAGAAGATGCTTATGCAGGCACCCGCCTCCCTGACATTGTACAGATCAGGAAACTAACAGTATCCCCTGACAACTGGGATGGAGCTATCTAGGGTGATCCCAATGACAGAGAGCCAGAAGGAGATGATCCTTTGTTCCTCACAGATCCTCCTGAATATGAAGCCAGACCTGTGGTTAAAACAGGAGAAACTGGGGTGATCATCCTTGACATACTACATCAACCACCCCCTGCGATCCATTGCAATTTACAAGAGAGATATGGCAGAAAAGCAGGTGAAGCTGAAACGGAATACTTGGGGCAAGTATGCCTAAGTGATGGTGACCAAATAACGTTGAGTGAGAGTGAAGCAAATGGCTATTGAGGTCTGGGAGTTTTCTTAAAATTTAGGACCCAACGCAGCAGATACACCCTATCCTATCATGTGCTAAGCAACTTATTGGGCTGGAGTAACAGCCACCATGGAGCAAGGTGAACCCTCCATAATCCCCACTAAATCTCTAAGTGAGCTTTCTGCATACAAGCCATGCACAAAGGAGAACCCCATGATGTCCCACTATCTGCTACAACAGATTTTGCAATGGTAAAACGACAGATAAGAGAAGCTCCAGCAATTCTTAAACCCCATCTAGTTGCAAAATAGGATGAGATTAAGAGAGACACTGAATATAATAAAAAACAGGGCAATCATGCTTCTAAACAACTCCCTAAATGGGTGGAATTAATGCACAGCACTGTTGTCCACAGTCATGAAATGGGCTGGGATGATGCATCAGTTGAAAAACAAAAACTAAAGCCCCAGGTGAAAACTAACAGCCATAAGGTGAGACCTGTAAAACAGGGAACAGAAACTGCACCAAACGGAAATAAATCTAAAAACCTGCAAACAGGATCTTGAGAACAGAGAACCAAGTTACAGAAGAAAGCACTATCTCTAGGAAATCCTCGATGCAACCA